GTATGAGAGAGAGCGAGAGAGAGAGAGAGAGCGAGCGAACTAGCTTTGTGTGCTTGGTGCTGTGTGTGTGTGTTTATACAGACAGCTTGGCTGTCTGGACTGTATACTGGGTGATTTTTGGTTGTGTTCTCCTCCGCTCTAGCGGAATCGGGCGTGGCGGGCAGAAAACGGAGCGGGTTCTCATGCTAAAACCTGGCGGGTGCGGGCGGAAGCGGGAGCGTTGTCGTCCGGAGGTGTGTGTGTGTGTGTTTTTGTGGGTGTGTGGCAGCTAAAATCCACGCCTACACTATCGAGCGTGTATGAACTGTGATTACTTTTATATTGCTGATTGGCTATTGGCCATTTCACTCTCTGACTGAAGGCAGTCGACCAATCGCGACAGACTGTCATCGGTCCAATCAGCGCAGATTAGCTTCGCGCTAGGGAGGGGTTTGGGAACAAATGAATCACTGGACGATTCATACTGGAGTCGCTGGGATAATTAGGTAAAAATAAATGCAGATTATAAGACCATGAAAGTGTTTTTTGACCTTGCATGCATATTAGACTGTTGTTGGAGACCCTTACAACCAAGATATGACCCTATTTCATGTATAATATGGGCTCTTTAAGTGTTTATATCCAAAGTAAAACTTCACGACCCGCCCACATGACGCAGCACGCATGCAGAGCGACGACACCGTTGCTCATACCTGTACCGGACCAGTTTCAAAGTTCTGTGGAGTTTTTGAGGGCTTTATACAACGTGCAACACATGTAAGTAACCATTTACATTGCATAAAGTTAGGTTTTAGCTGAATAAGCACGCATTTATTGCACTGTAAAATGTAAACAAATCGCCTTTCCTGACAGTAACGGTTAAGTTTGTCAGTTTTGCAAGCGCCATGCGGCCTTACCGAAAGTACGGAATTTAACATTAATCTTAAAACAACTATCGCAAACGTAGGATCGAAATATGTTAGATATATTGCCAGATTATGTTTCTACTTTGTTTTGTGTACTTTTACAAAAAAACATTGTCATTTTGTTTGTCTAGTATAGCTTTGGTGAATGTGAATTATTCTGTCTCAAATCATTCGTCTTAAATGTTATGCCTCTTTCCGAATTAGCTAGCAGAACACCACTAGCATGGGCTATCTTACTCGTACATGTGTCAGTTATAAGTTAACACAGTATATTTACACACCAACTACTCTGGCATATGTTTTACACAGTGGATGCCCTTCCAGCTGCAACCCAGTACTGGGAGACACCCATACACACTTATATACTATGGCCAATTTAGTTCATCAATTCCCCTATCGCACCTGGAGGAAGCCCATGCCAACATGGGGAGAACATGCAAACTCCAAACAGAAACACCAACTGACCCAGCCGGGACTCAAACCAGCAACCTTCCAAGGCCACAATGCTAACCACTGAGCCTACTTGCATAAATATAGCATCATTTTTGTGACATTGTACAACAATTATATGTATATATTTACCGTACTGTGAGGGTTGGGCTTAAGTTTGGGGTAGACCTTAATAAAATACTGTTTACTGGGTAATTTAATAAATGATACGAGTATATTACTGCTTTTACACTGTGAAGTTTGGGGTAGATGTTAATAAAATGTATTTAATTCAAATTTTATGGGTATTGTAATACATAATCTAAACTATATGATAACAATAATATTAATTCCTCACATCTATATAGCGCTTTTCTGGGCACTCAAATCGCTTTACACACATTGAGGGGAATCTCCTCATCCTCCACCAGTGTGCAGCATCCACTTGGATTAGGCGACGGCAGCCATACTGCACCAGACTGCACACCAGCTGATTGGTGGAGAGGAGACAGAGTGATGAAGACAGTGATGATATGGGGATGGTCAGGAGGCCATGATGGACAGAGGCCATTGGGCAGATTTGGCCAGGATGCCAGAGTTAAACCCCTACTCTTTTTCCAAGGATATCCTGGGATTTTTAACGAGCACAGAGAGTTGGGACCTCGGTTAACCGTCTCATCCGAAAGATAGAATGGTTCACTTGTATCGCTTGTTGCAAAAATGTTTTCAATTATTTTCTTAAATTCATGAATGAAAATATACAATTACAATCAGGAGATGAATATAAGAGAGATACAAGAGAGGGAAAATACAAGTGACATTAACAGCAGGTAATGTCACCTGTAAATAAACAGGGGAAAAATAAACAGGGGGGCTAATAATTCTGACTTCAACTGTAATAACAAAAATCGGACACATTTTTTTGTTGTTGCAAATACAGAAGGATTTAAGCAGTCAACTTCAATCAGAAAATGTGGAAAACAAAAATTCCTAACAAAATAAAAAAGATAAAGTCTTCAGATTCATGTGCAAAATCTATGTAATAATAAATAATTTATTTTAAACTTAAAGATAGGAGGAGTGTTTAAATAATAATGCAAGTCAAACCAAAACTTCACACATTCACACATACAAAATAAAAGTTTTACAGTTTCATCATCCTTACCACAAACTGGAGAACGACTCGGAATATCAACATATTTTTAAATAAATGAGATTTTTATTGCAGTATTTTAAAATGCCTTTATTTTTATTAGGAAGAAAGTATTTATAAGGCAACAACCAAGCTTTTCTCCAGTCTACATTATTAACTAATGCAACCCAACAGAATCTGCCTCACAGAACAATACGATGACTTTGCTGAGGAATTAAATGTATCTGTTCATTCATTCATTTCCTTTTCGATTTATTCCCTTTATTAATCAGGGGTCGCCACAGTGGAATGAACCGCCAACTTATCCAGAATGTTTTACTCAGCGGATGCCCTTCCAGCTGCAACCCATTACTGGGAAACATGCATACATTCTCATTTACACACACACACTCGTACACTACGGCCAGTTTAGTTGATCAATTCCCCTAAAGCGCATGTGATTGGACTGTGACCCAGCCGGGACTTGAATCAGTGACCTTCTTGCTGTGAGGTGATTGTGCTACCCACTGTGCCACCGTGATGCATAAATGATTATGTTTATTATTTTAATGTATTGTATATGACTATTGCCCAGATGCATTACACCAGTGGGGATATCTCTACGAACAGTATTATAATCTCTGAAGTGAGTAGGAAAGTCACGAACAGTCATAAAGCGTTCATAACACAGTAAGTTCCCCAAATCATCAAGTACAGAAAATAATCACTTGTAACAACAACTGCTGGCTGCTGGGATTGACGTCATTTTTGGAAGGCGCGTGCTGCTGGCTCTGACGTCACTCTCGGAACACGCGCGGGTTCTTTAAAACCGTCATTTCTCTGTCGGATTATCAAACTTACATTCCACTTTACTGCTGTTTGCACTGTTTCCCAGCGCGCGATGGCGAAGACGATTGCGAGAACTGCGAGGTCCATCGCGGCCCAGATAAACGAGTGCTGCTCCTACATCCACAGCAAATACCAGCAGCTGCAGGCCTTCCGCCGACAAGTCAAACGGATGACCAGACCCAAGCACTGGGACTGGATAGAAGACTTCGAGCTCGAGCACGAGCTGCGCTTCCCCACCCGCGGGCCCCGGAGCCTGCTGAAGCTGCGGAACCTGCAGCACTTCCTGCGGGAAACCGAGCAGAACTGGTGGGACTTTCGGCCTCCGCGGGTGCCCTGGAGACCGCACCGCGTGTTGCGGATAAACCTCCGGGACCGGCCGATCAAAGCCCTGCTGAGCACCGAGCTTTTCCCTCCGAAGCCCGTAGACCGCACCGAGAGACACTACTGCCGGAAACTGCTGCTGATGGAGCGGCCGCTGGAGATCAGCTTACCGGCAGACATACTGGAGGAGATCCGTGCGCTGGAGCATCTGGAGGAGGAGCAGGGGCTACCGCCACACCTGCACTGCTCATCCAGTCAGGAGGACTATTATTCCGCGGATGAAGAGTGAACTTTAATAAAGCAAACTGTAAAAAGTTCTTCAAGGGTGTTGTCCATTGGAATTAATTTTAAAAAGTATATTTCTTCCAATAAATTGATTACATTTCCATTTTGAATTAATTTAAGTTTTACATAAGTAAAAATTGCGATTGTTTTTGTAACTTATTATTACCCATCAAAAAATTGTGTTTTACTGACCTTCAAAATAAATTGCTTCTACAAAACTCTATTTAAGTGTTTATATCCAAAGTAAAACTTCACGACAACGTAGGATCGAAATATGTTAGATATATTGCCAGATTATGTTTCTACTTTGTTTTGTGTACTTTTACAAAAAAAATATTGTCATTTTGTTTGTCTAGTAACTTTAGCTTTGGTGAATGTGAATTATTCTGTCTCAAATCATTCGTCTTAAATGTTATGCCTCTTTCCGAATTAGCTAGCAGAACACCACTAGCATGGGCTATCTTCCTCGTACATGTGTCAGTTATAAGTTAACGGCTAAGTTTGTAGTCACAAATGTATTTCCTGCTTGATTGAAAAAGATGAGGACATAATATTTTTAGCACCTCTCTCTGCAATGTAACGTTATCATAAAAATTGTTAAAGGTTTAACTTTATCTTTTGATAATTTGTTTGAAATATTTTAATTTGCCTTAAATCATTTGTTCAATTTAAAAGATCAAATATTTATTTGCATTGCAATATTATCAATGATCCTGATGTTTACCTAAACTCTTCTTTTAATTTGTGTTGCTTCTTTAAAGAGATGTCAGAAGCATAAATGACATGATGGCTAGGACATATAGCTGGGGGAGAATGGAAGTGGTTGTCCAGAGCCCAGATGTGCAAAAATTAAAGAAAGATGGCTTGCCCAGGTAAATGATTTATCAATGACATGCTGCTCACTCTGTTTTTGTTTAAAGGCAAATAATGGTGAACAAAGATGTTTATGTGATGCTAGACACACTTTTTGCTGAACACATACTGAAAATGTTACCTCACATGTTTTATGGAGGATTTCATTACATAGGAATAAAAGGTTGCCAATTCTTTACACATTTGGTTCCAAATAACAGACAAACAATTGATGTTTTACAGATGAATGAAGAATTCCAAAGGTGTACTGGTGTTCCACAAGAATCGGTTTTTATGTCCCAGCTGGACAAATACACTCCAAAACTTCTTGACCTGTTTAGTGCGAAGGGTGCAGCGACTAGTGAAAACATCAATTGGAGTTATTGGAACTGATACAGGTAAGGCAAACATGGTAACAATGTGGCTGATGCATGTTTATGCAATTAGTACTTTATTTACTCATCTTGCCTAATAGGTGAATAGTGCAAAACAAAGTCATTAATTTTAAGGGTAAATATAAAAAAAGCGTGTGTGTGTGTGTCTCTGTGTCTGTGTATATGTATGTGCATATATATATATATATAGATAGATAGATAGATAGATAGATAGATAGATAGATAGATAGATAGATAGATAGATAGATAGATAGATAGAGTTGAACTCTGTTGAATAGGTTGTACAGAACCACACTGATAATGACATTTTACGTTTGTAGTTATATTGCCTGCAATATTCAGTTTTTTTATTATTCACTTACCAACTATAGGATTCAAGTACCTCTGTGGTGAGGAAGAGAGATGTGGCTCTGAGATGCCTCATTGAATACATGGGAGAGAGTGGGCAAAAGCTGATCTCTGACTACTATGCAAGTATTGTTTAAAAAGCATAGTTTGACTTTTTTGGGAAAGGCACTCATTCCTCAGATGTCTGACTGAGTTATAGTACAAAGCTGGAGCCCTGTCAAATGATCAAAACATGCCTACAAACACATAAATGAATATGCAGGAACCAGGGTCCCAAGTTAACCTTTTGGACTTTTAGTTGCTTGTAGACTTGATTTAAAAAATAATGTCATTTTTAACTGCAGTTTCACAAAAGTAAAATCCTTGTTTTACATTATGCAAAAATCATAATCATCTGACAATATAACTGTCAGAATGGCATTTTCAGTTTTGCCACTTATTGTTCTGTTTATTCTCATACAGGGAAAAACAGAGAGCAGTGTCTATGAAGACTTGAAAATGCGCAATATGCAGATATATGTCTGCCGTGTTCCAGATGTGGTGGGCATCATCATTGAGGGCATCCCTGTGCTTACTCGTCTTGGAAACCACTCCAGGGCTATGAACTTGCAGTATCCACCACAACTCAGCAAAACATTTCAGGTGTTTCAAAGACCATGTCCAAAGTCTTCCTTCCGATTCATGACACAAAAACTTCTGAGTTAGTTAATTAGTTGCCGCTCAGAGGTTCTGTTTCTTTGCTTCATCACTTTTGTTCAATGGACAGTTTGACTTGGAACAATGTGGTAGTCACGCACCGACTTCTTCAGTTCCTGGATAAGTCTGCAGCAAATATGGGCATTTGATTTGCTTTTGTATATATGGGCAAAGTTTGTTTTGTTATGTCAAATGCTGAGATCAGAGGCACTTTATTTTTTTTATTTCAATGTCGTAGTACATATGAAAATGTACTGTACTGTGCACTAAAGCTAGTCTGTTTATGTAAATTGCTCAGGTCAAGATTCACTGTATTTTATTGTTAGTGTACACAGATAGCATTTAAAGGTCTTCTATGCTGCGCTTAAAGATGAGGTTAGTTTCTGTAATTTTTAATGTTAAAATGTTTACAACATTAACAATAAAATCGATTATAGAAACTTTTGATTATAAATTGATTATAAGTGCACCCAGTTGTTTGTATATGGCAAATGTTATAGAGTAATAAACATTTGACAAATACCTCTCTTGCCTTATTAAAGTTGGATTAAAAAACAATTTGTATAAACTAAGAGTAATAGAGAAAATGATTTAATTAAAATCAAATAAATTAATTTTTTATTTTAAATGTTACTTATTTTAATTAAGTATTATTTGATCAATATACTGATCTTTAACACTTTGGTTAAACTCAAAAATTTTGCTTTATATTGTAGACTCTACTTAATTTTTTTGCAAACGGTAAAATAATAATATTGATTTTTACCAAATCAAAATAACAAGAAGTTCACTAAACTTACAAAAAGTAATTGGAAAATGTTGCCTTATTTTTTTAAAGTTTTATTTAAGTAACACTTTTTACAGTGTTGATTTGTATTTTGTATGCATTATGTATTTTTCCTGAGAATTTCTTGGGGCTCGGGTTTATTTTCTGTAAATAGAATTTTCAATGATTTTTCATCAATAAATTTGTTTCAGCTCAAAGTATCCCACATGATTTAATCTAGCTTTTCAAGTTTTTTGACACTCCAGAAACAGCCAAACAAACAAATTTCATGCAGCCAAAATGTCAGAAATGACCAGGGCTGGGTTTGTAAGAGCACTCTGTTTTTAAAAATATTCATAGCAACTACACGTGTTTCCCTAAAAGGCACGTACAGTATATAACATAATCATACAATAACACTTTACATGCTACTTAGAAGTCACTGTCCATTTCAAAAGTGATGAAATCCTGTTCTATCCTGAACGTTGAACCCAATAATCATAATCTCTTGTGGATTAACAATCAATATAAAGCACCTACATGCAGACTGAAAAAAAAAAAAAAAACGGCTATAAAAAAAAACTTAAGGTTAAAGAAGATAATATGAAATGCCCAAAACATGGATGGCAAAGTCATAGGCTGATTTTTTGTTTATTTATTTATTTATTATTATTATTATTCATTCATTTTATTTTCGGCTTAGTCCCTTTATTAATCTGGGATGGCCACAGAGGAATAAACCACCAACTTATCCAGCATATTTTATGCAGCAGATGCCCTTCCAGCTGCAACTCAACACTGGGAAAATTATTATTATTATTATTATTATTATTATTATTATTATTATTATTATTATTATTATCCAGCATGTTTTATGCAGCAGATGCCCTTCCAGCTGCAATTTAACAATGGGAAAATTATTATTATTATTATTTTAAAGTTTATCTCTATTTCTCTATTTTATCTCTATTATAAATTACTTAAACATTCATGCTTAGATTTCATATCCTTGGCAAATTCTTTTATTCAAATAGCAAGTTTTTTTTTTTCGAACAGACTTTTCCCAAAAGATAATAAGACAATGTACAAGAGTCATCATTGTGGAAATTATATTTTGTTTCTTGTAATTACCTTTGAACAAAAAGTGGCATGTCCAATATTATTCATACCCTTTACAAATTGGAAAATCCAAAGCTCTTTGCTGTTGGCTTGTGGACAGTCATGGCAAAGGCAAGACAAAGGAGCTCCTTGAGGAAGTCAGAAAAGGGCTATAAGACCATATCTAAATGATTTGACGTTCCAGTAAACTCAGAGAACATTGTCCTGTGCTGGCCAGGAGGATAGTGAAAAAGATTAAAAAAAATAAAAAATAAAAAAAATTCACAAAGGCCATCCTGCTGAATCTGGTTCTGCTGGTGGCAACATCTCAAGCAGACTGTCTAACAGACACTGCCGACCAAGGAGGACACCACTCCAGGGAAGGCACACAAAAACCAGCTTGACCTTTGCAAATGCTTCTCTGGAAAAAGAAGACTTCGGGTCTTAAGGGTCTTGAGACACTTTAATTGTTTGGCCAAAATAATGTAGTCTTATTTAAAAAAAAAAAAAAAAAAAAAAGAGGAAAAGCCTTAAACTCTAAGAACACCAAACGTAGTGTTTTGGTAGGTGTTTTTAGCCTGTGGACCAGGGACTCTTATCACAGTAAATAGCAAAATCAAGAACGTTCGAGGTTACTAAAGTAACCCTTCGTTCCCCGAGGAGGGGAACGGAAGCACTATAAGTGGATTTGATTGTAAAATCCACGCATTGGGAGGTTCGGTTCAGAAGCTACTCGTCTGAAAGAGTATTGAACGGGCCAATTAAGAATGAATTGGCAGCGCAAGCCTGCGCAGGTGAGCGGCATAAGCAATCAACTGAGTATATAAGCTCACCTGGCGCCAGCAGACGCTATCCTTTTTAAGCTGAAGAGACTTTTAACAGCTAAGGGACAGTCATTATGGCGACGGAGTATAGTGCTTCCGTTCCCCTCCTCGGGGAACGAAGGGTTACTTTAGTGCCGTGGCGGAATAAGCATATGGGATCGCCTAGTGGGGATCACGCATAGCAGGCACCTTTACCCAAAACGCGGGCTGACCAGCGGGCAGACCTACAACGTAGTGGGCCAGCAAGTGACTCCTCCGCTGAGTCAGTGCTGGGGGCCACGGAGGAATCTGCAGGGCTCACCTGATGGGGAACTTTACTGACAGATAAAAAGGCGCACGTATCTCCGTGTTAGGGAAAATGGCGCAGCAAGCGTGTTTCAACACCCTACCGAATTGTTTCCTCAATCACCAAGGGTTACCTAATACCCTTGAGGAAACCGGCTCCACTCGCAGATTGTAAAACCTTGCAAATGTGTTGGGTGTCACCCAGCCCGCAGCTCTACAGATGTCTGTTAGAGAGGCGCCGCGTGCGCGCGCTCGAGAGGATGCGAAGCTCCGAGTGGAGTGCGCACGCGCTCTCGGGGGACGCGGCTCATCTCGGCTCTGATAGTGAAAGAAAGGCATCCACAATCTAGTGGGAACTTATTTCGGTACGGCACTTCCCTGCTGCCGACCGCTATAACAGACGAAGAGCTGCTCAGATGATCTAAACTCTGAGTGCGGTCCGGATAATACGCAAAACGCGAACTGGACAATAAAGAAGGGCTGGGTCTGCCTCCTCCGAGGGCAGCGCTTGCAGGCTCACTACCTCGTATTAAAACGGAGTGGTAGGAACCTTGGGCACATATCGCGGGCGGGGTCTCAGGACGTGAGAGAAGCCAGCCCAATTACAGGCACGAGTCACTGACCGAAAAATGCCTCCGGGTCCCCGACCCTCTAATCGATATCAACGCGACCAGCAGAGCTGTCTTCAGGGACAGAAAGATACTGAGTCGAGGATCGAAGGGATCTGACGCGGCTTGTGTAGCGAGGGCGAGATCCTAAGAGGGCATGAGAGGGGGCGGGGTGGATTAATTCACTTAACGCCCCTGAGGAACCGGATGATAAGGTTATGCGTTCCCACGGTGCTGCCAGCCACCGCGTTATGAGAGCGGAGATGGCAGCCACGTAACCTTGAGTGTGGAGGGCGACAGCCTGCTCTCCAACTTCTCTCGGCGTAAAGAAAGCACAACGCTGATCTGGCAAATTACGGGGGTCTTCTCAGCGAGAGACACACCATTCAGTGAATAGACTCCACGTCAGGGCATAGGCGCGCTCGGGGAGGGGGCTCTAGCCCGAGTGACGGTATTAGCCACCGCAATCGGAGGTTACCTAAGTCTTCCTCGCGTCTAAAAATCTCCAAAGATCGGCGAGGGTGCCAGGTGGTGCCCTGTCCCTGAGAGAGTAGGTGCTCTCTCGAAGGGACTGCCAGGGGAGGGCTATCGCGAGGGAGAGCTCTGACATCCAGGTCCAGTTGAGCCAGAGGGGCGCAACCAGCAACCTGTTCCTCGTCCTCCCTGACCTTGCACAGTAACTGCGCGAGCAGGCTCACTGGGGGAAACGCGTATTTGCGCGTGCCCCGAGGCCAGCTGTAAGCCAGTGCATCCGTGCCGAGAGCACTCGGTCAGGGAAAGAACAACTGGCAATGAGCGATCTCGGGGGAAGCAACAGATCGATCTGGGCTTCCCCGAATCGCGCCC